TGATTAGTTTTGTGCAATAATGGCAAAGAAAACGCGTTTACAAGGAAGCGACGTGCGAACACGCTTCGCGGAGAATCTCTTGCAAAAAACTAGTCTTGAGAACAAAAACAGCTGAATTACCGTTTTAACTAAGGATAGGATAAGTTTTTTTGAAAATTAAGTATTACAGATAGTTTTTTGCACTGGATCTTTAGTTTATTTGGATCGTGTGAATTTATAAAAGTAATTTTTTATTTTGTGAAATTGACAACTTTTGTCATGATTTTGTTCGAATTTTTCAGTCCGAAAACTCGCGTTCCTGTGAACAAATTTCAAATCCTGAATATCGTCAATCTGAATAAATTGTCTCTAGTTGTAGCAAGAATATTTACTAGTGAATGTCTTCTCTTGATTTCATATGCATATTTTATCATGCTTTTGTAAAAAGTTCTCGAGAAGTAGTGAACTACTTGATCAGTTATTATTTAATTACTGATCACAACATGAAATTTAGGTATTTAGTATTTTATGCCTTCGTTTAGCTGAACCTTTTTGTTGGATTGGAAGAGTATGTGTTTACCTAGCATATTTTAAGTTGTCTATAAAATAGATTTAACACCAAACGAATGATGTTTTAATACTTAGCTGTTGTCACACAGCTACACATTGCAGGCAAACACATAGTTGTTGTTTGAACAATCATTGACAATTAGAGACAGCTTGAACTTGGTGCAGACCCTCGGTTTGAACAGACACTCTTTATTAGCAAGTGGGGTGTGCTAATCTGACGAAGTAACACATACATGCCTTTGGGTATCTTTAGTTTGATCCAGCAGTCTATTTAATATGACAGATGGATCAGCTTTTAGTCAAGCATGCATTAATTATTGCTTGTAGGGATCTTAAGTTAGCATGCTGAGATTTTTTGGAGAGGTTCTGTATTACCAGCTGGCCTGTATTCACTGTGTTGTTATCCACTGGGTTAGTCTGCTAAACTGGGTTGTCTGTAAACTGGATAAACTTGGCACAGGCCACAGGACATGCTTGACTCAAATTCTATTCATGGACTGAATATTAAACCAAGAGAATATCCTGCAAAACTATACTGTGGGACTGGTTAGGGTGGGTGCCATCCGTTATGAGACCGACCTTCGGCTAATGTTGTAAACATTACTTAAAAAACTCATCAATAATTCATGAAGAAAACACAAAGAAAAATCATAAGCGTGTCGTATCTGTATATGTGATACAGATTCATGTTGATTTACATAAACTTTAACTTTGATTTCCTTGACTTAGACAACGTTTATTTTTAAAATTACTTCGCCAATGAACTTATAAAATGAGTCGTTTTTTAAGTTGTTTACAACATTCGCGTTCGCCTTCGGCTCGAGTTTGTATATCCGATACAACACGGCCGATCATGTTGTAAACATTACATAGAGATGTAAAGCATTAAGTGGTTTTGAGCCACACTATATACATGCAATGCCAAAGAAAGAATATACATTTTTATATCCAAATTTGTTTGGAAATCAACTAAATTAGTACATAATTGCAAAATATACATTGCTGGGGACCTAGGGTAGTTCCCCAAGTAAATTTCTTAAGTTTCGAATACCTTCATCCAAAAGAATTTCTGTATTTTCGGATAGGTACACTCTTGGGTAAATAACATCTAAATTCACTATATTCTTTCATTCAGTGGTGGTGCCCAAGACAGAATACAGCTCTGGTGAGGTCCAGGGAGGGGGGGGGGGCATGCTCACCCATTTGAAATCAAGTCCCTGAAATGCAATTTCCAGCATTTTGGGGGACAATTATACAAATTCTTCAGATTATAAGGTACATGAAACACAAGATTTAATGATTATATGTAGGTGTAAGGGAACCGTACATTGAAAATAAAAACTTCACCTTTGTTTTCATTGAAAATCTGGAAATTTTAAATCTAGCAATGTACAGTATAGTTGTATATGAAACAACCTCATATCATTATACCTGTATCTGAAAGTTTATATATTTTATAAATAAAGTGTAAAAACATCCATAGTTGAGGAGCACATGTTAAAAATAAAAATATATAAGACTTTATCAATAAATACTATACGACTGTCAAGTACACACTTATAGTAAAAGAGGGCAAAAATACAAAACATGTACAGTATAAACAAACAACAGCGTGCCAAAATACTTCAAAAACGTTGTATATATTAGAATACACAACTAAAATCAAGGGGACATATTGACTATTAAATGTTATTCTTATAACCAGAGGCAATTCATTCACATTGACTATATTTACGCCTAGCAATTTGTTTAAGGAGACGCCAGTTCTCTGACTGAATTCATACGAAAACATGACACAAATTGCAAACTTCACAGAGATTAAAATGGCACTTATATGTTCATGGAACATAAACAAATTAGAAATCCAGTACAAACACCTATCAGTAATATTAATTTTAAAAAATTTCATCGGATCGTTAGTTAAAACGCGAATTCACCTGTTTTTGTTGCTAAGGCTAGTTTATGGCACGACATTCTCCGCAAAGCGTGTTCACATCTCGCCTCCTTCTCAACGCATTTTCTTCGCCATTATTTCACAAAACTTCATAAAATCACATCTGCATGTAGTTAAAAGTTGCCTGGTTGTTTTCCTGTAGATAAAATATATGAATAGATACAAGCAAGTGCTAAAATCCGCAATTTCCTACTCAAAGCAAAATCGTTCGCTCCCACAGCCGTCATTTCGTTCGAAAGCAACCTACCATATCCTACCGTCATGCTTAGCGAGCAGAAAGCTATTACGCAACTTGTCAATCCAAGCACCACACATGCCTTCGTAAGCGTGCTTCATTCTTGAAGCGGATCAACAGGCGGAAACGGAGGATCAACTAGAGTGATGCTGTTTGACTTTAGAAAGGTCTTCGACCTGTTTGACCGTCACTTGTTACTTCATAAACAAAAAACATACGATCTATCCCAATGGACAATTGATGAGATAAAAGTTTTTTGACCTGCAGAAAACAGCCGGTCAAACTTAATCATGATTGTTATTCTAAATTGGAACTAGTTACAGCAGATATCCCCCAAGGAACAAAACTTGGCCCATGGCTCTTCACAATCATGATTAACAACTTAGTGATTCCCACATCAGTGGCCGGTTGTACAAAAACGTAGTTAGCACTAACTGCAGTTAAAAAGTAGTTAAAAACCCTTAAACAATAGTTAACATTAATCACGTAGTTAAGCCGGTTGTACAAAAGTGTAGTTTTAGCCTTACCTGCAGCCATATAGCCAGTGAACCATAGTCACGCGCCCACGATTATTGGCGAAATTTAGACTCAGCTAATGCTTTCCTTTCCCCTGGGGTTAAGTAGCCGTACAGAATTAGTAATGTCGCTCCGGCCATACGACTGGAACGACGTGGAACTCGCTCGGGACACCTTATTAGAGATCGTGTTGCTAACCCTAAACGCAGCAATTTAAAATAGACTATATCTATTTACATGTAATATTACGACATACTTTTTTTCAGATAATAATACGCAAACGTGCATGCTGACTTATTTAATCCATTACATTTTACTTAATTTCACTTAATTTCATTTATTTTAGCCAATTGTAACTTTGACAATGGAGATACCTGCGATTATCAAAATGGTGCTGGACAGTTTTATTGGACGATTAACAGTGGATCAACACGCAGTAGTGGGACCGGACCAAGCTCTGACGCCAGCGGCATAGGTAAACTGTTAAATAAAATTTAGGTCCTAGAAACAGTGAAATATATGATTATGTTTACGATGAGGTTTTTTAGCATTAGCTTTGGACATTTACGATAAATAACAATCAGGTTTGAGTGGGATCTTAAAAATAACTTATTCGATAGTTAACACTAAAAATAAGATGGATTGTTTATTGACCGTCTGTCAACTGTCAGACGGTCAATAATCTGCCGAAATTTAACTGCCTGCGTTTTGCTCGTCCTATCCGAAATAGACAAGAAAACTTAAACCTTTTTGTGTAAAGGATCCTCATCTGCAATAAGTTCACATTTCTTTTTCTTTTTGTAAGTAACTTGGAAAAAACATCTGCTGGATATTGAAGCCTACTGCCTACACAGGACGCCATGCAGATAGTGTCCGAAAAGTATCAATTCTAGATATGCACGGTACTCACGCTCACGTTGCAAGATGCTTACCTCTGAAAAAATGGGCAACATAGCTGGATATTTAATAAGAGCAACTTTGTCACATTACAATTAATATTGTTTTGGTCAATCAAATTTTTTTCCAAATTTTTTAAGGTTTTTATCTGTTCATCGAAACTTCAAGTCCACGACAGTTTGGCGATAATGCTACAATTCTGACACCTTACTTGAACGGCCCACAATGCATGATATTTTCTTACCATATGTACGGTAGTGCTATCGGTTACCTGAATATCTATGCGAATGAGCAAATGATATTTTCAAAATCGGGAAATCAAGGAAACCAATGGGTCGGTGTGAAAACACCAATCTTACAAAGTGGAAAATATATGGTGAGTAAAGAAAGCGGCATTTCAAATGCACTAAAAATAGCATAATATTTTAGGCAAAAACCATTTTTTTTTTCAAAACGAGAAGGAAGAGGGCCCTGAGGAAACTTCGTTACAAACCTTGCGCATTCCTTTCTGTGCCTGAATACAAAATAGCTTTTCAACTAACCCGAAGGGATAACGTCGTCAGAGTAAAAATGAAAATGATTATCCAATTTCTTGTTTAAATATTTAAGGTTAAATTTGAAGGAGTGCGCGGTCATAGTTACGAAGGGGATATTGCAATCGATGCTATCAGCTTCACTCCAGGAAATTGCTCATTCCAAACACCAAAACCATCAACACCTCGACCAACAACCCTTCCAACAGGAACAACAAACCCTACGACACGAGCAGGTACAGTAGTGGTTTAATAACTTAACATCAGTTTTTTTGTTAATACATGCAACCAAGTCATTATATAGTAATGATGATATCATGTTCGGGTTGTGTTCCACTGCCCTTTCATCATCCAAGGCCTGTATACGGACTTCCTGAGCTTTCCTTGAAGGGCGCTACAATGTCTTTACTTATGTGCTTTATCGCCGTTTTTAAACTGTGAAATGCAGTGAGCGTGCGCATAAAGGCTTAGGCATAATGTGTAGTATATATAGTTCTGTAGTGTCCCACATCCACCACACTGTCTTCTATAGTATATATATTCTTGGTATGTGGAAGCTCATCATCGGTGCACTGTGCTGATGAGCCCCAAAAAGGGCGAAACAGCTGTTCACAGTTGCCGTTGTTTGAGCTTTCCTTGAACGGCGCTACAATGTCTTTACTTATGTGCTTTATCGCCGTTTTTAAACTGTGAAACGCAGTGAGCGTGCGCATAAACGCGTAGGCATAATGTGTAGTATATAAAGTTCTGTAGTGTCCCACATCCACCACACTGTCTTCTATAGTATATATATATTCTTGGTATGTGGAAGCTCATCATTGGTGCACTGTGCTGATGAGTCCCAAAAAGGGCGAAACAGCTGTCTACAGTTGCCGTTGTTTGAGCTTTCCTTGAAGGGCGCTACAATGTCTTTACTTATGTGCTTTATCGCCGTTTTTAAACTGTGAAATGCAGTGAGCGTGCGCGTAAAGGCTTAGGCATAATGTGTAGTATATATATATATATATATATATATATATATATATATATATATATATATATATATATATATATATATATATATATATATACAGGGTGTATCAAAATAAGCGCAATTCATCTTTTGTGCTTAATAACTTTCGAAATACTATTTCTAGTTAAACGCTTTTAGGCTTACTTCAAAGCCTGTTCTTTTCTCTTTCAAACAAACCATTATCCTTGTCTCCAATGCTAGTAATAATTGCACAGGAAAAGATTTAGTAAAACCTATCATTTTTAGTTGCTGTTTAATTATGCAAGTTTACTATGTTATTGTTTAGTCGGTTTAAATGTTAGAATTTTCTTCTTTAAACTTTAATGTTGTCGTCACTACATCTGGAAAACCACGTAAGAACAAATTAAAAGTATTTTAAAAGAGACCACGTTGTTTGAAAATCCTAAATGAATGCTAAAAATCGTCAAAACATTCTGGTGTCTGAGCCATGCAGAGTGTCATCGAATTGCGATGTAATGAAAACAGAAATTATAGCAAGTTGATGTCAGTCAGCTTATAGATGGTCCAAGCCAAAATTATATCGCATTTGAAGTTTCAAACTGAGTTAAAAATAGTGGAAGAAAAGCCGTAATTATACTTATTGTTACAATCCATTTAATAAAATGCAACATTTTTTTGTTTTAATGAAAAAATCAGTTATTTTCATTAGAACGATTTGTTAATCCATCTCAATTTTTTAATCTGCAATCGCAATAACGTAAAGTATTATTACCCGCGAACCAATGTTTCAAATTTAAGAAACAACCCACTGTTAGAAAGCTGAATGGCTACGCTTTAATGAATGTAAACTTTAACGTTTTCGTCTATTATTTGTTTAGCAATTTACATTTCAGTCGAGGATTGCGCTTTTTTTGATACACCCTGTATATATGTTTAAAGATTTGTAATCCAGGCATATTATAATTATATATATATATATATATCTTATAATTATATAAACTGCAGTTTTGATGGTGCGGAAACATGCGAGCTAGTTGGTTTATTCCTACTATCCAAACTTCCTCCAGAATATCGAAATGATATTGGTCTCTACAGAGACGATGGCCTTGCAGCGTTTGACAAACAATCGAGAGCAATAGAAAATATCAAGAAGCAAATTTGCAGAACTTTTAATGAACATAATTTAAAGATTACAATGGAAGCTAACAAAAAATGTGTCAATTACCTAGATGTCACATTTGACCTAAGAAATTCCTCGTTTAAACCGTACATGAAACCGGGAAATACGCTTCAATATGTCCATCGTCAGAGTAATCACCCACCCGCAGTTTTAAAGGCAATTCCTGATGCAATTAACAATCGATTGTCCAACATCTCGTCTGACGAACAAGCATTTAATTCAGCTTGTCATCCATACCAAGATGCTTTACATAAGAGTGGTTACAACCACAAGTTAAAATACAATCCCCAGCATGCAAAGACAAAACGCACTAGAAACAGAAACGTTATATGGTTTAATCCAACTTACAACTCTAATGTCAAAACGAATATCGGACACAAATTCCTCCAAGCAATTGATGATTGCTTCCCTAAAAACAATCCTCTCCATAAAATATTTAACAGAAATACCTTGAAGCTGAGTTACAGTTGCATGCCCAACATTCGTAATATAATTTCTGGGCACAATAAATCTGTAGTAAATAAGCTCACCTCAACAGATGCGTCAACATGCAGCACGAAACCAAGACAATGCAATTGCAGGAATAAGTCCTCGTGTCCACTGCCCGCGGTAAATGTATAACATCCAGCGTAGTATACCAAGCAACGGTTGTTAGGAACGATACGAATCAAAAGGAATCGTATGTTGCACATACTGAAGGACAGTTCAAATCCAGATATTATTGCCACACTAGCTCATTCAGATTAAGCAAATATAGAAATGCCACAGAGCTGAGCAAATACATCTGGCAACTTAAAGGGTAGAAGGTGAAGTACTCCATCAACTGGCGTATTATATTAAGCAATGCAAGAGCTACAACAACACAACGAAACGCTGCAGTCTTTGTACACATGAAAAATTCATCATAATCCACCACCCTGAACTTTGTTCTTTAAATTCAAGAAGTGAACTTTTGTCGAAATGCAGACATAGAAACAAATTTCTCTTAAGCAATATACACTACTTAATATAATCTGTATATATATGCATGTAATCTATACGTAATTTAATACTTGAACATTCCGTTTACATCAAACATGTATATAGTATATATAACCTTGGCAACAACATAGCGCGACATTTAAATTCACCTGATGAGTGTGGCAAGCATTGCTTGTCATACAGTACGAAACAAGTTTGTAGTGAATAAATCTTATGAAGTAAACCAGGTTTATTTTATCTTTATATATATATATATATATATATATATATATATATATATATATATATATATATATATATATATATATATATATATATTTACATTATTTACGTTGTACCAAATTATATGTGTGCACATGTTTTGTATTTTCCACAAACCAAAACATAGACTGTATTATCGCAATGAAACTTACAAATAACTAATTTATTTCCAGTTGTTTTGCTGGTAATTGGTTTTAGCAACCCATTGAGCATGGCAGTCGTTGAAGGAAGTAATGTTGTTCTTACTATTGAGGTCACTGGACAACTCACAACTCAAATTTCTGCTACGTAAGTGGAATAACTTTTTTCCTCTTTTCCTAAGATTATTGTTTGTACTGTGATACACAAATTCCTCAAAATGTATTCAAGAGCAAAGGACAAAAAGTTCTTTTGGACAAATTTGCTAGACAGGGGCGCATCCGTGCAGGTCTTAAGCTGGCAGATGCCCAAGAGCTTGCATTTGTAGGGTGGGGGGGAGCGAGGATGTTCTCCTCCGGGAAATTTTGAAATCTAGAACCTGGGAAATGCAATTCATACATCAGAGTCACAAAATTATTTGTTGCATTTTTGGAAAGACATGCAAAAAGACTTGAATCTATATTGCAAAACAACATAATTTCTCCATATAAGAAAAAAAACATTTGCTCCTACAAGTGTAATAGCAGCATTGGCAATAAGTCTCTATGCCAGTCCGTATTGTTCTTCTTGTGGCCTTGACATTTCTATTGAAAAACATTTCGGCAGAAAATCACGAACTGTAACTACACACATACTGTACTGTGTAACAAAGATGTATACAGTGTGCTACACTAGTTGCATTGCTGGACTAACAGGACAGTGTTATTATGTTGTTTAGAAACCACTTTCCCCTATTAATTTCCAGTTGTTTTCCCATGTTCCATGAGAAAGATTTTCTAGCATTAGAATTTAAAGTAAAATAAAATAAAATATCATGCATAAAGGTATTTTGTGCTTTAGTGGGTAACTTATTTATATAAAACTCTGTCTTATGCTGCTAATCTGTGTCTGGCATCAGTTGTTTAATATCATTCACCCGTAGCTGCCTTTGACATGAACCGCATGGTGAATTATAGCCCACATGATTGATTTAATGAACTATCTTAGTTGGATTTTTTTTATTAACTTTACAATCATATTATATAAAAAAATACACATACAGCTATGATTGAAGGATTGGACAACAGAACAAGCATCCCATACTAAGTCCACCCATCTAACACTAAAACACGACATACTACGGACTGCAAACTGGACAACGTAAATACTGATTTTACAGGCTTTTATACTATATAAAACATGCAAGAATAAATACACAACTATACTACTCTAAAATTATTTGTGCCGTTCAGTTTTGACCCCCCCCCCTCCCCAACACCACCACCACCACCACCTCTAGTTAGAACCATGAACCACTTACATGCAGGTTCTTACCAATATCTTGAAGTACTTCCAGTAATTGGGTTATGCATGATCTGTTTGGACGGAAACCGTGTTGAAGATCGTGGAGCGATGGTTTGATGAATTCATAAACTTGCCTGTGGACTATAAGCTCGAGAACTTTACAGATTATACAGAGAAGTGAAATCGGACGATAGTTATTGATTTCACTTGTATCATATTTCTTTGGTACTGGAATGTTTGCACGTTTCCACTCGCTAGGAACTTTGCCGTGGGCAAGCGACATTGCGAAAAGTTCAGTTAAAGATGGCGCCAGTTGTTTCGCACATACTCTCAATGTCGCTGATATTCCATCAGGACCAGTGGCTTTGGTGGTACAAAGACCAGGCAACAAAGAGCAAACCTCTTCAACAGGAATTGTTATAGACTCCAGACCAACGGCATCCGTGCTGTACACAGGTGGTAGATCTGTCGCCGAGGTAGATGGTGTATTCGGTCGAAACACGGATGCGAAGTAGGAATTGAATGCGTCAGCTTTTGCTTGCGATAACGAGAAACGCGAATCGCCCAGTGCCATTGTGTCGGGAAAGGTAGACTTGTTGGATTTGTATTTAAAGAAACGCCAAAATTCTTTTGAGTTATCTCCCACAGACTCGGCAAGTCCTTGAATGTACTCGCGATTCTTCTTACGTATTTCGGATTTAATTTTTCTCCTCAAGTCACGAAACCTCTCCCACAATTCTGGGGAATTTGACTTTTTTGCTTTCTTTCTGAAAGTTTCGTTTTTCCGAATTTCATGCACGAGATCGCTTGTAACATAGGGTGGAGAACCTTTCGATTTTGTTGTAAATTTCGGAATGTAAGTATCAACGGCGGTAACAACCGTGTCTTTCCATTTCATCCAGGCGATGTCAACATCATTTTCGCTTGATACGATGTAACTTAAATTTAACAGGTTCAAGGCCTCACGCGGACCGTTAAAATCTCCTTTCTTGTAGTTGTACATCGTACGTTTTGTTTGTTGTTTCGTTTTTATTGTAATATGCACGCCAAATGTAATGGCTCTGCGATCTGATTTTACGCACGTTGAAGAGTCATCAACAACTTTGATATTGTTAATAATTTGTTCATCATTGACAAATAGCAAGTCAATCGTGTTCTTACAACGAGTATGAGAAGTAATCATTTGTAAAAGCCGGCTTCATTAATTGAATCGATGAAATTAATGTCCGATGAAATGTCCGAAAATCCCGAGCCGTCTAACCAATTAATGGAAGGAAAATTGAAGTCTCCAATTAAAATTAAATCTTTGATCAAGTACTTGAAAAATTCCTTCAATTGCTGAATAAATTCTGGTCCAGCATCAGGTGGACGATAGCAAACGGACACAAGAATATTTTTGTTCATGGTCTTGATGAAAACACTTGTGAGTTCTAATCCCACTATGGTAATGTGGTATGTGGTAATGTGGTATTTCAACTGGTATGTTTTCTTTAACAGCAAGTAGTACACCTCCTCCTCTTTTTCCAAAATCTCTATCTTTGCGGTAGATAATATAGCCGTGCGGTAAATTGTTTGTCAAATGACCTGCCAAACTGTACAATGGTAAACATGACATAATTGAATCATGTCTTCTATTATTTTGTCCCTTTTGCCTGCCTTTCAACTAATAATAATACAGTACTCTTTTGAGATTTTGTCGATGTAGAAGGGCTGCAAAGTAGTAGTATATTGATCAACAATTTCCCTATGTTATTATATAAATGCATATCTTTGTCAAATATATCCATACATTTATCAATGTAATCCTCAGGATGCCATGCTGGCTATCCAAAACATAGTATTGGGACAATTAGCAATACAAATATATAATTTTATTAATTATATTTTCCAAACTATACCATTTTTGTGAGCAAATTTCATAATTATAACCTATATACACCAGTTAGTGCAGTATATACAGTATTTATACCGTACATCATTTTATCATTCTGAGATTAAAATCTATCAAGAGAATGTCATATGCATAACTTATATCAAAATATATTTGCACAGACAAAGTATATAAACACTCAACTATGGTAGGCGAACAAGCCCATGTAATCATCTTTGTTTGCAAATTATCCAGTGTACAGTAATTGCCCAATAACTCAGGCAATGCAAAGCAAGTGCCCCGTCACGAGGCTACCAGCTCATTTCCATATATATAAAATGAAAATGAAAGGTAATAGGAGATACGACTGGAACTTGCAACTTGAACCAATTACCTTTCATGTCAACTCCCCCTTAGTCACCTAAGTTCTAACCAACATTGCATCACTATTAGAAATCTGAGTAACCTGCACATTCAGAGCCTGATGCAATTAGTTTCATTTTTGTTATCCAGTCAAACATGTGCGAGGAGAAATGTCAATTTCACATAATAACAACAAGCTAAATATAGTTACAATCACCAAAAATATATCATCATTTAAATTATAAAAACAATTATCCAAACAATATATTAAATACGGCATGAATACTCATGCTAGAAATAGCCAATCAGAATTACAACCATAAAAGCAGTTGTAGGACACAGACATTTAATAACATGTGTATCAGATCTACATTTTTCTTTATTCGAGAAGAGAAACTGCACTTACTTTAGAGCCCTGGCTCAGTTCGAGTTTCACATAGACTGATAGACTACATAGTGGCCATTTTAGAGTATAAATATTCTTCAATTCGTCATGTAATCGGTTGAAAGATTAGATTCATTTCAATTTTCAAGCCTTGGAATCGGTTCGACTGTAAATTATTTGTTCTCCGTCAATTTCGAGGGATATATCTTCGAAAAGGATCGGACTAAACATTTATTTGTCATATCATATATTTATTTCCATATCTTTGCCGCCATGGCTTGAATCGTGTGTCTCGTTACGTCACAGTTGATTTGATTTTTCAATTTGCATCAGTGGACCGATACGTGCGCCCGCAATCTGCATGCGAGGCATCGCTCATCGGACAAATCTACCGTGACGTAGGGCTCTTAAGGAATAGATTTGATGATGTCACAGTAGATTTCACGCGGAAAAGGACTCGGGACCGATGCATTCACTGACGCAAAATGATGCAAACCAAATCTACCGTGACGTAGGTGATGCATTGGCTTCTACTGTGACGTCAAAGGAAGCCGTAAAAAATAACATATTTTGTCGCAAAATTATTGACGCTTATAAGTATCGCAAAATAAAGTAAATAACAGAAAGTATACATTTGCGATCGCGCGTCGCATATTGGAATTATTTTGACAATTTCGACTGTGATTGACACTATTTAAATTGGATTTCATCCTAATCAGTGTATTCTTTCCATAGATTTAATTTTAAGCAAAGATTTGCGGTTTGATAGGAGATATTCTATTACTGAGTGCTTGACTATTGACGACACCATAACATGTCTCTATATTATTTCAAGCAACATGATTTCTCAATTTTGACCGATGCATTCGCATCATTGGCATCGGCCTGGATCTGCCCCTGTCGCTGGAACTGATCAGCGTAGCACGCACTCTGTTCTCGTGTGTATCCCTTGTAACTTGAGTGATGACGTAGTTGAATAATGTGTGGTTCTATCGCGGTAGAATAATATAGAGTTCTAGAGTTTATGTAGTTTTTCGGTCGGTAATTCCGTGTGATTGCGAGTTCCTCTTCCCAAATATTTAAGGGAAAACCTGCCCTAACAAAGTTAAAGATGGGAAATTACCTTTCATGCACTTTATGTCGAAGCCGAAATGTGCTTTACTCAAACGAAAATGCGAAAAAAACGCAAATATTTCGTTGACTCAAACATCGACAAAGCTGGTTTGCATAAAATGGTTATAGGAGAAACTAAATTTACGGACACCCCACAATATGCTACATGTTTTGTTTAATTTAAATTTTCATGCATATTAAAATATTACTATCATTAGAAGTCAGAAAATATACGTACGAACAGGGGCGGATCCAGACCGATGGCAACGATGCGAATGCATCTGTCAAAATTGAGAAATCCTGTTGCTTGAAATAATATATAGACATATTATGCTGTCGTCAATACTTGGTCAAGCACTCAGTAATAGAATATCTTTGAATCTCTCCAGCTATCAAACCGCAAATATTTGCTTAAACTTGACTCCATGTCAGGAATACACTATTTAGGACGAAATCCATTTTAAATAGTCTCAATAACAGTCGAAATTATCAAAATAAGTCCAATATGCGACGTGCGATCGCAAATGTGTACTTTCTGTTATTTACTTTTTATTTTGTGACACTTAAGCGTCAGTAATTTCGCGACAAAATATTTTTTTACCACATCCTTTGACCATATAACTATGCTTTGACGTCACAGTAGAAAGCTGATGCATCACCTACGTCATGGTAGATTTGGTTTGCATCGATTTTCAGCCATTTTGCATCAGTGAATGCATCGGTCTCGAGTCCTTTTCCGCGTGAAATCTACTGTGACATCATTAAATCTATTGTTTTAGAGTCGTACGTCACGGTAGATTTGTCCGCTGAGCGATGCATCGCATGCAGATTGCGGGCACTCGCGTCGGTCCACGGCGGCAAGGATATGCAAACACTATATGCAAATGAGACAAATAATGCGAAGAAATGGCCGTCGAAATTGACGGAGAAAACGGAGAACAAATCATTTACAGTCGAATTAATAACCAAGGCTTGAAATGAATCTAATCTTTCAACTGAGTACAAGAATTAAAGTATATTTATACTATGAGATGCCCACCATGTGAAACTCGAACTGCATGAGGGCTCTAAAGTAAGTGAAATTTATCTGTATTTTGCATTGTAGTTCATTGCTCAGTTCAAGAAGTGTATAAAGTGGAAAATGGGCTCCACAGTTAATGCAGATTTGTACGTATTAACATAATAATTAAAGTTTCTGTCTATTTAATACTGTTGCTTATACCTTGCAGCAAGGGGGGGGGGATGAGGTTGTTTGACATTTTACAGTCTTTACAGAGGTTTGCTTGTCTGGAGGCAAACCAGCCCCAATACCAAACTTGACAGCTTGCTTTACTGAGGCAAATTTCATCTCTGTTTACATGGAATTGTAACTTGTGCCCAGACCTTAATTTTTCTCACAGCTGGTAGGCAAAGAAAAATGAAGATCTGATACACATGTTAGTAAACATTTGTGTCCTACAACTGCCTTTATGGTTGTAACTCTGATTGGCTATTTCTAGCATGAGTATTCATGCCATATTTAATGTATTTTTTTGATATTTTTGTTAATGCTATATATAATTAAATAATTATAGATTTAGTGATTGTAACTAAGTTATCTATACTTAGCTTGTTGTTAAATTATGTGAAATTGACATTTCTCCTGGCACATTGTGATTGGATACCGGTACTAAAAATAAAACTATGATGTGGGTTAAGACTTGCACCAGGCTCTGTATGTAATTACAGTGCATAATAATATTGCAGGTTAATTAATGAGATTTCTAATAGTGATGCAATATTGGTTAGAAGACTAAGCGGAAGTTTACATTGAAAGGTAATTGGTTCAAGTTGCAAGTTCCAGTGGTATATCCTATTACATTTCGTTTTCATTTTATATGGAAATGAGTTGGCATGCCTCGTGACAAGAGTCTAATTACTTCGCATTGCCTGAGTTATCTGAGTTATATAGATGATTACCTGGGCTTGCTCGACTACCATAGTTGAGTATATATGCTTTGTTTGTGCAAATATTATTTGCTATAAGCTGTATATGTATTCTCCTGACAGATTTTAATCTTAGAATGATAAAATAATGGACGGTAGGCCTATAAATACTGTAAATAACTGTAACTGGTGTATATAGGTTATAATTATGAAATTTGCTCATGACAAAAGTGGGATAGTTTGGAAAATATATTTAATTAAATTATATATTTGTAGTTCTAATTGTCCCAATACTATGTTTTGGATAGCCAGCATGGCACCCTGAGGATTACCATTGATAAGTGTATGGATATATTTGACAAAGATGTGTATTTATATATTCCTCAATACTACTGTGCAGCCTTTCTACATTGACAACATATCTTAAAAGAATACTATATTAATATTAGTTAAAAGGCAGGCAAAAGGGAACAGATAGAAGACATGATTGAATTAGGTCATGATATATTGTTTATCATTGTACAGTTTCCAACAAAGATAGTTCATTAAATCAATTTACACACAGTCTCTATTGATTTAAAATTTGTAGTTGTGTGTACCTTGTTATACTTATAGAATTATAAACCCATGCAGTGCTTGTTGTGTGTTAGTTTACTGGTTTCCTGGTCACAGGGCAATTAATATTCTCAGTTTTCAGAGTGTGGGCTATTCACTATGCAGTTCACGTCAACGGCAGCTAGGGGCGAATGAAATTGACCAACTGATGTCAACCACACAGTCCATACAGAGTAAGATTAGCAGCATAAGACAGAATTGTATATTAATAAGTTTACCCACTAGAGCACAAAATACCTTTATGCACCATTCTAATGCTAGAAGGTTTTACTCATGGAGCATTGGAAATTAGTGGAAATTAATAAGGGAAGGTGGTTAAAAAACAACACAATAACACTGCCTTCTGAGTCCAGCAATGCTACTAGTGGATCATACTGTATACCTTTGTTACACGTATGTATGTATTTGCGTTGTCGTGATTGTTTGCCGAAATGTTGTTCAATAGAAAAGTTAAGGCTACAAGAAGCACAGTACTGACTATTTTTCAATAGAGACTTATCTACCACGGCTACTATAACACTTGTACAAGCGAATATTTTTTCTTATATGGAGAAATTATGTTGTTTTTGCAATATAGGTTCAAGTTTTTACGTGCTTTCCAAAAATGCAGAAAATAAATTTTTGACTATGATGTATGAATTGGAACAAAAGAGTTCGCCCAGAACGCAGGAAATCGCATTTCCGGGGTCCTAGGCCCCCTACAGATGCGAGGTCTTAGGCATCAGTCAGATTAGGAACTGGATCCGCCCCCGCGTGAATAGAAACATAACAACACAATAACCTCAGGAATAAAAGAGGAAACAAAGCTTCCGATCCAAGAGCTGTTTAGAACTGAATTGATTCCCCCTCTGCTTTCACATTTTATTTAGGGCCACTGTTTCACCTGCAAGTGCCAGTGATGCAGATTTCAATGTACTTTCATCAACTGAACTAAGTTTTCGTCCTGGTGTTACTAAGGATACAATTGCCATAGCAACCGAGGATGATTCGATAACAGAAGATGAGGAGGTATTTGTTGTCACTCTATCAACTACCAATCCAAGTGTGCAAATTGACAAAGCTAAGGGAGTAACAACTGTTACTATTAAAGACAACGATGGTAAGTACATTCCAGAGGCCACATTCGTATCACGACTTATGTCTATGTATCACAGATAAATTCTTTATTACATCAATTTAAGAAGTATATTGAGGCTCTATGAGTGTTTGAATATTTTATTTAAGACTGATTGGGATTAAGTACCACGCAAAATTTACCATCGCCAAATTCTAATATCCATCTTTGTTTAAATTGAGTTTCTAAATCATATTTAAATTCTAAATGCTAAAAGTGTGCATGGAAAATTTTTTTATAGCTACTCCGGGACAGTATATTACTGGCTTTAACCTGGGGCGAGTTAAACCATGTGTAGTTGATTTAAAACAAATTCATTTGATAAAAAGCGAGTTGAGACGATCTCAGTTTAAATTGGGGAATTCCTATGCCATTAATTTAAATCAAGTTAAGTTCTAACACAAGGCAATTTTATATATCAAACTTCAAGTTAAAAATTTATTACTTTTCGCTCGTAAATGAAACGAAGTGAAGTAACTAATAACCGGAATTAAATACAAACAAATGCAAATATGCAGCTACTAAAAAAACCTATGTTCATGATTTTAATTTTTGATAGCGCTCCATCCAACTTCAAGCGATTCAACGTCTTCATCAAATAGTAACACCTGGGTTCTTATTGGAGCTGTGGCTGCATCAGTAGTTGTCATCGTGACGTCAATATTCATTGCTGTTTGTTGTTTCCGCCAAAGAAATAGGAGATCAAGAGAGAACGCGAGAGACATCGGTAAAATCGAAAACCCTGCCTATGAAGGTTGCGGACAACGAAGTTTACAACCACCACAATTATGCGATTCTGAAAATCATTACGAACAACCAACAGTGTACCCACCACTGACCAGTTCTGCGAATGTTACCATTGATGCGCATTACCAAAGTTTGCATTTGGATGAGGATTGTTACGAGAGAGTGGACTTTTAAAGCTTTGCACATTACTTGAGATTTTCGAATTGCAATAACAGTTTCATAGTTTTGTTAATTTCTGCATTTCTATATTTTAATCAATATTTTAATCACGTTTGTTAAGTAGTTACTGTATGTACTTCGTTACAACCAAACTATTCTAAAAAAACTAAATATTTTTAATAAGTAATGCCTCTATAACAGACATTTCCATATTTCTTCACCTATATATATTCACCTATAATATGTAATAATTTCATCATCTGCATGTGATGTTGACCTAAGTTGAGTAAGATGTCGATTAAACAGTTTTGAAAATGATTGCTGTTTTCAGAGTGCATGTTGATATTTTGTTACGGAACACATCACTAAATCGGTAAGAAGTAGCCAGCTAAATACATCCGGTGTTCGTAGCACGTTACCTAATTGTGCAGTGACGTTTTCCAAATTAAGGAAACTTGACAAGGTGTATCTTAACAAATAAGAAAAATTTTCAGATACTAGTTTCGATAATAGTTTAGCTGTTCGCCCAGGCATCCAGAAGGGTCTCTAACACTGACATCAATGTATCAGTCTTTTCATGAGTATATCAGCAAAACATGTTGTTGCCTCAATTGTTGTTAACTTTAGCTCCACCGGGTATGAAGGGACTCGACCACTTAATCAGTTTCACTCTATGTTGTTGGAAATAACTTGCTAAACAGTTTTGTAATTTCAACTTCAACAAAATATTATGTATCAATTTGGAAACTATATCAATAAACTGACAATTTAGGTAGCTTTAGGAACTTTAATGGGAACACCATTATCAAATCTGGAAGATTTTGTTAACATTGTTATACATTTTACAGTATGTGTAAAAATGCAATGCAATTTTGAATATTGTACTCGGCTTAAATTTGGATAGGTGCAATTAAATACCGATTTTGTAACTGCAACTATTTGTTTCTTTGATCACCTGGATATACCATACTAAACCATGCCTCAACATACCATGCCATACCATACGACACCATATCGTACCTGACCATACCATACCAAACCACCACAATATTTTACACTCCTTACCATATCACACCATACTATGCCATACCATACCATACCATGCTGTACTATAGCACACCGTGCTACGACAGACCATACCATACAGCTCAGCTCGACTTTGAATTTACTATATAAGTAAATTCTTAAATTAAACACGTCCGAAATTATCAATACGATAAATTAGCGACGCTTTTTGAGCCCTAACCGTAGTCTAACCCCGACACTAACCCTATCTCTAATATAATCTTAAGCTAACCTTAACCTAATCTTAATCTGATACTAATCTAAACTTGATAACCTTTTTTTTAATAGTCTTCCCACCCCCGCACGACCAACCTCCCTTTTAGGGCAATTACATTTACAAGTAGAAAATACATGATTGCAGAAACCCTCGCCTTTCCCCAGATTAAGTATTTTTAATCCGTGGCCTTACTGACAAAACCATTATATTTCATTCAACAGATTTCTCGAATAATATTTCAGCTTCGCAGGAACGCTTCCTATCAAAAATAAATAAAGCAACTCGTGACTATTGAGACGCATATCTTTCGTGAAATTATTGTACCAGGCCGGGGCTTTCTGTCGAGCGGTTTACGTTTCCCAACTAATTGTATTGAAATATGGTAGAAAAATTTACAAATATGGCGGATGCCCAATCTGGATACATATAGTTATGGGCCAGTTGATCTCTGTAAATACTTTTTATTGCATGGAATTTGTATAATTGTAACATATATATTTTTAATTTTTGTGTATCCTGATCCAACCTCGCACCCGGTGGCAAATAGTTATAAATATCAATAATTATAACAACGCATCTTTGAATGTTCTTATACATACGTTATATGTATGTTGTTAACGTTTCATATTATAGACTTTGTTTTGCCATGGTGATGACTAAATGCAACTCGGTTGGGTGCAAGCTATAGCCTCCATAACGCAGACCGTGTTTCGCTCGCCCGAGACGAAACACAGTCTGCGAATCCAAGAGAGAATTCAAGAGAAGTGACGTAATGCATTCGTATAAGCGACCAATGAAATTCCTCGTTTTAAAACAACCCCACACGGTGTCCTTATTTGCGTGAATATTTTGTGGGCTTAAAAGCAGGAGCGGTTCCAAACATATGCCAACGATGCAAATGCATCGGTCAAAATTGAGAAATCATGTTGCTTGAAATAATATATAGACATATTATGGTGTCGTAACTAGTCAAGCACTCAGTAATAGAATATCTTTCTAGCTATCAAACCTCAAATCTTTGCTTAAATTGACTCCATGTCAGGAATACACTACTTAGGATGAAATCCAATTTAAATTGTCTCAATAACAGTCGAAATTGTCAAATTAAGTCCAGTATGCGACGTGCGATCGCAAATGTGTAGTTTCTGTTATTTACTTTTTATTTTGCGACACTTATTAAGCGTCAATAATTTCTCGACAAAATATGTTATTTTTTTACCGCATCTTTTGACGTCACAGTAGAAAGCCAATGCATTACCTACATCACAGTAGATTTCGTTTGCATCCTGCCTCATACCCAGGCGCTTACATGAAGTATTCAGGTATGCAGCCGACGCGCGAAGGGGCTCTTGGGAAGGGTGCGTGATGGGGAGCGCCTGGCAGTTCTTGTATACTGTCATGGCGGGAAAACAGGGAATTTGATACAAAAAGTTACCATATCGTCATATACTCTGTGTGTAAAACCTTACTTTGTGATGAAGAGTTGAATTGAACGCCATTGGCAAATAATAATACATTTGTAGATGTTCGATGACATGCAAAATGCGTGAAAAATTATGAGGAAATAACATCGCAAGTTAACCGTGCGAATATTTCGAATATGTAATTCGGTATTACATGGAGAGTAATAGAATGCTATCAGTTGCTTAGCATAAAACAGTAACAGAGAAATTATTAGAAAGTCATATAATTGCTTTTGTATTAGTAATTTCTTTAGCTAAAAGCTCAATCAGTCGATTACAATGCCAATGGCAATTTCTATTAAATGTATACTGTAAACAAAAGCCCTAGTAAATAAAAGTTCACAGCCGTAAAGTTTGAAATATTTATTACAACAGTGCAATTTTATAGTTTGTACCTTTATATAGTTATAGCTTACAAATCTAGTTCCTGCAAGTCTAGTTCTTCAACGCTTCGGTTGTTGACATGTTAATATTGGAATTTCCATGGATTTTAATTTAAAGAAGGCATATGTCATATATACCAAGAATAACAGCATGAATTCACGCCCTGATGACAGAAGAATATTAACATTAGTCAATTCAGCAAAAACAAGTAGCAAAAAATCGTAAACGACAACGAAATAACACAACTTGCAAGAAATCGACTTTCTTGCAAGAAATCGACCAAGAACTGCCAGGCGTCTCGCAGTTCAAGTGCACTCTTCCCATCAACCCATTCGCCATCTTTCCCCACTAGAATACTTCATGTAAACTCGTCATATGCGCATCACTGTTTTTTTTACAAAGAGACGCCTGGGTACGAGGCAGGTTTGCATCCATTTTCAGCCATTTTGCATCAGTGAATGCATCCGTCCCGAGTCCTTTTCTACTGTGACATCATCAAATCTATTGTTTTAGAGCCCTATACGTCACGGTAGATTTGTCCGCTGAGCGATGCATCGTATGCAGATTTATTTATTTATTAACTTTACAACCAAACATAAAATAGATTAAACCATTACATAATACTGTTGAAGGTATGGTCAACAGGACATGAATAGCCCCGCCATGTGATCATGAAGACCTGAACCTTTAAATGCATTAGATTGCGGGCGCTCGCATCGGTGCACAGATGCTAATTGCAAAATCAAATCTACTGTGATGTAACGAAGCATTCGAGTCAATTTAACTCATGACGGCAAGGAAGGCAAAGACCATATGCAAATGTATGAGACAAATAAATGTTCAATTCCGATCCTTTGCGAAGGAATATCCCTCGAAATTGACGGAAAACAAATAATTTACAGCCGAACTAATTACCAAGGCATGGAATGAATCTAATCTTTGAACTGAGTGCAAAAATTGAAGAATATTTATACTGTGAAATGCCCACTATAGTCAACTCGAACTGAGGGCTCTAAAGTAAGTGAAATTTATCTATATTTTACATTGTAGTACATTGTTCAGTTCAAGATGTGTATTAAGTTACATTACACTTGTTCTCAAAGTATTAATGAAAAATCACACTTGCATGTGTTTGGCGAAATATTTATAATACCGCTCGTGCTACGCACTTGGGGTTTTTCATATTTTAACTGATTATTATTCTATACATTTGAAGTTCATATAGAAGCCCACAACGGATGTCATGAAGATTACAATAGATCTATTCTGAATTTGTCTTCCTTCAGCACATTATAAAATACCTCTTGCAAGTAAATTGAGTTTAATAGAGGCGCAATTATACCTTATCGCTACAACACTACAGGCAAACAATCGCCCAAAATCTCCGGCTGCCTTTTATTTACAAAGAATTGTTTACAAAGTATTTCAAACAATGTGTCAGTCTTGTTATAATTATACCATTCTTTGCAATCATTGCAAACTGTATAAAGCACTTACATAATTTACATATATTTATAAAGCACTTGAGGAAGTCTATTTGAAAGGTGGAAATATGTATTTCGTCTGATCGTTTTGCACTTTATAGATTTCAAATGTTCAATATGATATAAAAGATATTGTATCTTCGTTTGGTATATTATGGCATTATGAAGATCCAGACACACCGGACGCGATTCGACAACGCGACGCGATTTTCCCATTTTTTTAAATCCTAGTTTAATAAATTATCCAAAAATTTAGAAGAACTATAACATTTTGAGTTATTTAGTCTACATATCTCATTGGCTGTTTTATTAACCTTCAAAAACTAAAAAATCGCGTCGCGTTGTCGAATGCCATCCGGTGTGTCTGGACCTTTATTCTGCATGTCGATTAGTTGTGAAAGGAATGTATTATGCCAACAACACTGTTTGTAAATTATCTCTCTGGGCCGGCTCAACAGATTCCGATTAATTGGTCTACCGTTTACAAACGCTCGTGCTGAACAATCAACAAAGTTATACGTTTAACTTTATTTTATTTCAGAAGAAATAATATAATATAATGTAATTTACAGATGTCTATATTCTTTGGTGACGCTCAGCATAGCCATTGTTTTGTACAATACATTTTACAGCTATTTCAATTAAGGTGGTCCACGGTGGTCCATTTGAATTAAGGTGGTCCAAGTAAATTTGTCGGATGGAGTCAGGCTACAAAGTTCCGAACCATTTAACAAAAACTGTTTATCTGTAATATAACAAAATGTTCGAAACATGGAAAGCCGCGATATACGGTATAACATAATCAAGTTTGATGCGCTAAATAGTAAGTAAATTAGCCGTGGCGAGAAAAAATTTCGCTTCAGCAGGGAGAAGAAGTCAGTTCTACTCACTACGAAAGCAAATAAAGTGGCCAAATTTAATTAAGGAATCGCTTATGCGCTGCCATACATATTTCGCAGACACAATTTCTCGCAAAGAATTTCGCCGTCGTGGAAAGAGGCCTTTAAAAACTTATATGAAATTTGCTCCATAAAGAATTTGAAACGTATTTGGAGGAGAGTCGAACACGGAGGAGGGAGAGGGGTCACTTTTTGTTTGAATATAAGTGGGGTGATTTAAAAAATGTTTTCTAATTTGGGGGGAACGAAAATTTTTGGCTGATTTAAAACAAGTCCTTTGCCTTCCCCCCCCCCCCTTCCCCCGCAACGTACATAATGAACCTTAGTAATGAGTATTTTAAGGCAAATTAAAATTAGTTCGAAAGTTCCGTTCATTAAAAATATTTTTAGCTTTGCAGTAATTGCCTGAATGTCTATGCAGTCC